TTTTGTATGCTTCTTGAATATTTAAATGAATATCTTTCTTTAAGTTGGGAAAGTTTTCTTCCATAATTTTGTTGAAAATATTTTCTGGGCCTTTGAGCTGTGACTCTTCTCCTTCTTCTATTCCTATTATTCTTAGGTTTGGTTTTTTTATTGTGTCCCATAGTTCCTGAATGTTTTGTGTTGAGAATTTGTTGGCTTTGCTGTTTTCTTTGATCTGTTCGTTTATTTTCTCTATGGTGTCCTCAGCATCTGAGAGTCTTTCTTCTAGCTCTTGTATTCTATTGATTATGCTTGTTTCTGTAGACTCTGCTCGTTGGCCTAGATTTTCCATATCCAGCTGGTCCTCAGTTTGTATTTTCTTCTTTGCCTTCATTTCAGTTTTCAATCATTGAACTGTTTCCATTACCTGTTTGATGGTTTTTTCTTGGTTTCCCAGGGTATCATGTACGTATTTACTCATTTCTTCAAACTTTTTGTTATACTTCTCATCCATTTCTATAAGGGCATTTTTTACATGTTGTTTAAGGGACTCTATTATCTTCATAAAGTCGATTTTTTCCACTTCTTCTGTGTTAGGTTGTTCAAATACTTCTGTTGTAAGATCATTGGGTTCTGATGTTTTCATGTTGTTTTTCGGATTATTGGGTGAGTTCTTGCCTTGGCGCCTGCCCATCTCCTCCTATTGATCCTATCCAATGGATCCTTTAGAAACCGGATCAGGTTTCCCTGCTGGCCAAGGGCTCCACTTACAAAATGCCCTCACTCTCTTTCGTGGTTCCTGCTGCAGGCCAAGAACCCTCTCACCCCTCTGAAGGATCTTCAGGACAGGACCAGGCTCCCCTTGTGCCAGTGACCTGGCCAACCAAAGGCCTACCTCTTTGATTCAATTATAGTAGGGCGATCTGCTCTCCTTATTGCAGCCCCTTGGGTCTGGCCTCCGCTCAGCGGCGTCTGGCGCCGCCGCCGCCGCGCTGCGCCTCTGTGCGTCTGGCGCCGCCGCAGCTGCGTCTCTGTGCGTCTCTCCTCAAACTTTTTAATCTGTTTACTATTGCCTTCTGTAAGGCCTGAATCTCCTGTCCAGTATTATGCTCCAAAGCCTTCATTGAGGATTCTAAGGTATGAAGTTTGCTCATTAGAGATAATAGCTCATCCTTGGACATAATCCTCATGGCATGGATTGTGCCTTCTTGTATGAAAATTCTGTCCATTAATTTTTCATACCCTTTGATATAGTCCTATTAATACATTTAGTGGTTTGAATCCTCTCAGATAATGTTTCAGTACCTACAGACAGGGACTGAAGTTTATGAGCCAAATCAGCTGTCCCCTTCTCCAAAGCAGCAAAGCTCTCTTTAAATGAATTAATATTAGACTGCACCTTCTCAGAATTTTGCTCAATTGACTGAGTCATATCAGACAAAGATCTAGTCTCCTCCTTGAGAACTTCAAACTCTTTCTTGAGGAGGTTGATGTCAGTCTGAATTGTTTTTGAAATTACCTCAACCGACTGGAACTTATCATTCAAAACAATCGTGTCCTTCCTTAAGGTTTCAACTTCTGTCCTAAGAATCCTGGATTTAGTGTGTAAGTACTGCATCATTTTTCTATTATCAAACCATATTATAAAGAAGCTGCCAAAAACAAGTAAAATGATAAGGCCCAGAAATAGGCAAACAAGTGGAATATCATAGACATCTTGTAAAATCTCAGACATGGCACAATTAAAGAGGCTGTGAAAACCTTGAACAGTTATGTTGTTTGACATTTTTAATCAAACCTGTATGTATGTATATTTATTTACTTATTAATTTATTCGAAAGAAATCTTACCTGCAATGACTGGTGCCTGCCAGTAGGTGGCGGGGTGCACCTGAATCCACGTGGCCAGGGAGTCAGAACCGGAAAAAAAATTCTGAAATATATATGTATATATATATATATATATATATATATATATATATATATATATACTCAAATCTAGAGGTTAAACTCACAGACCATATGCTGTGTGAATTATTTAACTACAGGAGGGCAGCAGCTTAGGTCAGACTCAGCCTGGGAGGCAGGGCGGGGATGCTAGCAGTCACATGTGTGGAGGGCAGCTAACAATGGAGCTGTCTGTGCAGGCTGTGCTGCTGCTGCTGCTGGGCACAAGTACAGCGGGCGTTCGGGAAACCAGGCTGGTCCCAAAGCGGGGCCCAAAGCCAGGGCCAGGTCGCCGCAGGTTGGTGGGGCACAAGGTGCAAGGGAAGAGGAGTGTGCAAGGCACAGGGGAGGGCAGCCTAAAAGCCCAACGCTGAATCCTGGTGGGAAATGAGGCCAAATGAAGGGGCAAGGTTGATCGGTATTTACAATTAACCAGACCAGTTTATTATAATAGATTCAGCTTTTAATAAACAGAAAAAAGAGAACTTACAAAGCCAGGGTTCCAGTGATCCAGGAGCTTAGGGGACTGAAAGGAAGGAGGCAATTGTACCTGGATGTTTTATCTGTTTTTCTGTGGCCCCAGGGGGACACACCCTAAACAGAATGTGGTTGGCTGAAGTTCCCCATCAACTCTGTTCAAAGGTCTTTGGAAATTATTTCGCAAATGGATGTGGAATACATTCATTCATTTCTAAATTTAATTTATCTTCTATTAGTTATTGAATAAAGTCTCAAGTTACAAAAATGAAACTTTTTTATCATTTTTATCATTTGACAAATTGATTGTTATATAAATTTATTTCTATTAATTTATTACACTATGAAACAAAAACCTCCATTCATTTATAAATACTTTTTTATGCTTAAGTGATGTAGCCAGAAATAAAATCTGTTTGGTAGTTTCTTTATTTCATTACATAAAGGTAATATGGATTTTATTATTAAAACAATATACTGATTGTTTAAGCAATGCAATGGTTTTTCTCATAGTCACATATAATATTAATTAACACAGAACAATAATTTATGACTTGTAAAATCAGAATCACTGTGAAATATGTTTTATGGTTGAATGTAATTACTTGGAAATTTTACTCAGAGGAAGAGAATACTCAAAAATGGTGATCCATGGACAGACATTTGCTCAATAATAATAATATCTTTGAATTATAATGCAGTGACATCTTCATTTTAGAATAATTTCAAAATGAAAAGTCCTGTAGCCAATTTACTTGTATAAAAATAAGACTTGCATTTTTGCATAGAAATTTGAAATTCAGATTAATTCCTTAACTGTATAGATTTTGACAATTGAGATTTAAACAGAATGGCAGAATAACCATAAGAAGAAAATGTGCCTGTGAGAATTTAGTGCAGTGAAATGATTTTTAATTCTTAGCTGGATTTCTATTTTTTTTAGATTTTTAACTTATTTATCGATTTTCTCTTTGACATATTATCTAGAGACAGGCTATTCTTGGAAGAATATAGAAAAGAGGGTGGTCTTAAATTTATGATATCCTGTTGCTCCTGTGCTGTAGTTAGGAGGCCTCCATTGCTGTCCTTTAATTTAAGTGATGCTAGTGATTAAACTCAGGGAAGTGTTTTTGCTACAAAAGCGTTCTGTTGTCAAAGTATAGTCCCCAGCTCCTTGAGGTTTAAATATTTGTAATATAGTGGTCCTCAGGAGAAGACACAGGACCATACAGACTTTTTTTTGTCTAGTTTTAAATATACAAAAATTAATGCAACACCAAAAAAAGTGTAAATTGTTTTGCTGCTTCCTTCTCTATAAAGCATTTGAGGATGTACAGTGGATAAAGGTCCAAGAATTGAAGTCTGAAAAGCTAAGTTTGATCACTGATACCTAAATAGTGAAATGAGAGAACTGACTTTCACCTGTTGTCATTTGATGGGCTACACAAAGTACTATGAAAAATCTTCACACACAAACAATCACACAAGCACACATACAAATGCAAAGAATAGAGAAAATATTTTAAGAGATGAAATGATCACAAAGATAACATTTATAACGATTATAATAATTTTTATAAGAGTATAAAGATGCTCTAGATTTCAAAATAAGCAATAAATATTTTCATATAATTATTCTGTCTTTTGCTCCTTAATTATATATATATATATATATATATGATTATATATGCATATATATACAAAATATTTGAGATAATCTTTTTTACTAAGACTACATTATTAATAATTGAAATAAGTTTGATTTAGTTAACTCAATGAATAATTTTACAGCAATCTTATTTCCTTTTTGCTATTTCTTAATTTGTTTTAATTTCATGTGCTTTGGTGATTTGCCCCATGTATGTCTGCATGAGGCTGTTGGATCCTTTATAACAGTAGTGAAAGACAGTTGTAAGTTAGAGTGTTAGTCCTGAGACTAGAACCTGGTCCCCTATAAGAGCTCTCAAACACTGAGCCTTCTCTTCAGCCTAAAAAGCCTAAGTTAATTGGTCTAAACTAATTAGAAGTATTTATAAGTATAATTAGTTTAATTATACATTATACTAAGTTATAATTAGACTAGCTACAAATAGTATAATTATAATTAGTCAAGTTATATTTATTCTAATTATAAATAGACTATAATTAGTCAAATTATAAATAACTCTAAACTAATTAGACTTATTTGTTTAAAATAATGAAATTTTGGTACATCATTATATCGGAAATTTGGAACCACTCCAGTGCTTGACATGGATGTAAATATTACATTAGTATTTTTTCTCAGTTGAAATGATGAAGAATTATAAACTGTGGTGGTGGTTCAAGCATGTAATCCCAGCACTTGGGAAGTAGAGGCAGGTGGTTCTTTAAGTTCAAAGCCAGAATGGCCTACAGAATGAGTTAAAGGACAGCCAGGACTACACAGAGAAACTTTGTCTCAAAAAACAAAATATAATAATAATAATAATAATAATAATAATAATAAAGAATTATACAAGATTGTTTAATTGATAGTGATTAAAATAAACGAAACGGTGAACACTAAGTAAAATTTTCCACATGGAAGAAAACTCACTTGTCTGTTTTTACTTGCAGCTAATATCTGAATTAGACAATGGATATCACACTTTCCAGTACAAGCTACTTGAAACTGGAGCTGGAAGTTTCAGCATTGATGAAAGAACAGGTGACATATTTGCTATAAGGAAGCTCAATAGAGAGGAGCAATCTCTCTACATCTTGAGAGCCCAGGTAATAGACAGCACCACTGGAAAGGCTGTGGAACCCGAGTCTGAGTTTGTCATCAGAGTTTTGGATATCAATGATAATGAACCCAAATTCCTAGATGAACCTTATGAGGCCACTGTACCAGAGATGTCTCCAGAAGGTATTGCATATTAATTTACATCAGAGCCTTATTAACATGACAATAGATTTAAAATTTTGAGTATATGATTGGCAAAACATTGATTTATTATCCTTATTAACTTCTCCTGTGACAAAATTTTAAGTAAAATATTTGCAGAATCATCAAATATAACATTGTATAAGATAAATTAGGAAGAAAAATTACAAAATAATTTCTAGTGAGCTCAATTTAGTTAGTACTTTATTATTGCTTCAAAATGGCTTTTTCTCTATGGGATAATGTGATGGATTTATTTTTCTATACACTGTATGAAATACAAACTTCTTTACATATAATGCTACTTTTTGTTAGTTTTATTTATATCTGAAGTGAATTTAATTTCAAGTGGAACATTCAAGTGGAAGTGAGCTAAAATTTATATGTTTATCATTTGCAACTCCATACTACAAAGCAATTTTTCTATCATTCTTCAAATCATGTTTAAAAGGTTTAGATATATATTTAATATATTAACAAATCTATAAGATATGCATGACAACTTAAAGGAAACAATCCACACAACTAAAACTAGTACAATCATCAAAAACAAGGAACACAAAGATAAAAAAGTGCTTAAAAATTTACATGTGGCTTTGCTCATTTCACGTTATTTTCCAACATTTTTTATATTAAAGTTTAAATTGAGAAAATTAGTAAGAGATGTTTTCAAATGGACAAAGTTGTCATCTTCTTTGCAAATCAAAATAACTGAAGCCAAGGAAATTTACATTTATGAAAATATTTTGTCTTAAGTTAGCTAAAATATAGATATCAAAATATACAACAGAATTTAATTCAAAATTTTGCTTAAAATGACATACAAATGCTTTAGCTATCATCATGTTAAAAAATAGGCTAACTTATTTTGAAGCTCATTTATGGAAAATTTGCATAATTATCCATTGATTATAAAGTGTATTTCTCATTGTATTTTTCTTTTTACTTTAAGCTTACCAGTTATAAATTAATGGTGTCATCTTGAATTGATTGGAAGATAGTATTTTTATTTGGATGAACATAATTACAACATACATGACACATAAATTACATAATATGTGTCAAAAACAAATTTTATTAAAATATTTTTAAAACTCCTTTAAATTTGTTATTATGATAGCTCAACAAACAAATTTCTTGTACTTCTTATTTGATTCTCCCCTTCCCATATTCCTTCCTATGTTCTAATTTATTTAATCTCTTTCTTCTTCTTCTATTCTCTTATCTAAAAAAGTTTGTAGTATTATCATGTACTGAGAACATTTTGTTTAAAAGTAAAAAATAGAATCATAAAGGAATTTTATTAGTTAATTTCTAGAATGGCATTTATGCCAGTTAAACACACATCAAAGAAATATTTTAAATAAGAATTACGTACAATTAGTGTGAGATAAAAATGATAAGTACGGGAGAAGTATGACAGTCATTATGCATCTGGAGAAGTAGAGTAGATTTTTGATAGGGAAAAAGTGAAGGAAATGATAAAGAGAGGCCAATCATGTGTTCTCAGTGAAGACCTCCATAGAAAAGTGACCACAACCACATGAGTGAATAATTTCATAACATGCAAAATGCATACATTTTAGACATATACACAGGCACATACACAAAGATAGTATGTGAAATGATATAATATAAGTAATTAGAATCTAATATAATCCATATTTAGGGAATGCCAGAGAAACAATGTAACTGTTACCAAACTACTCTTGGAAAAAAGGTTTTCCTCTGAATATGTTTAGAAAATTCATAAAAGATAATGGATTCCTTATAAATCAAACAATGTGTAGTTGTTTACGTTTAATATTTCTGTGATACTTAACACACAGAGTAGAATTTGGAAAATGGTCTAATACTTTATATGGAGATGAGGAGAAATGAAATGAATAGTTACTTACAGAATTTGAAAGCATATAGGGATTAAATGTGCTTTGTTAATAGTGTTACCGCATAACTAATAACACAGTTTTTTTCATGCTGTTTATGTTGTCCTAAATTTTATATTTTTATGATAATCACCATGACAAAATGTAACAATAATGTGGGGATGAAAAGATTATTTCACTTTATCATTTCATCAGTGAGTGAAGTCATAGCAGAAACACAAAAGTACGGCTGAAACTTGAAGGTATGAATTCAAGCAGGAGCCATGGAGCCATGCTTGCTTGCTTCTGGTTTCTTTCTGTCTTACTCTTCATTCTAACTTATTACCCAGGAGAACCTCCTGAGTGGAGGAATCACTTTCCTACAGGGAACTATTATAGAGGCATTTTATCAATGTATATACCCTCTTCTCAGATATGTCTGTGCTTGTGTCAAATTGGCAAAAAATACAACACATTTGGTGACTGTGTATCTTTGTTCATCATATTTTTTTCTTTTTTTATATTAAAAATTTCTACCTCCTCCCCTCCTCCCATTTCCCTCCCCCATTGTAGTAATCAGAGCGGCGGGGCTGCATCCCAGCACCCTGGCTGCCTGGCTAGCTTATGCCCGAAATAACAACACACAAACTGTATTCATTTAAACACTCCTTGACCCATTTCTATCTAGCCTCTTCTAGGCTAACTCTCGCACCTGGACTAGCCCATTTCTAATAATCTGCTGTAGCCCACGAGGTGGCTTACCAGGGAGATTCTAGCCTACGTCCATCCTGGGTCAGAGCTTCACTGCGTGTGCGTCAGAGAGCAGAGCTATCCCTGCATCTCTGATCCAGACAGCAGAGCTGTAGAGTCTGAGCTCACTTCCTCTTCCTCCCAGCATTCTGTTCTGTTTACTCCTCCCACCTATGTTTTAACCTATGAGGGCCAGCCAAGCAGTTTCTTTATTTTTTTAACCAATGACCTTCCTCCATCATCCCATCTCCCCACTTCCCCTCCTCCTCCCTCTCCAGTCTAAAGAGCAGTCAGGGTTTGTAGCAGCGTAAATGAATGCAGACAGATTGTAATAATATATACAGCTTTAAAGGGAAATAGACTTACAGAACCACAGGTTCCTGCGGAGAACAGGAAAGCAGAAGGGGTGGCTGGGATCACGCCTGCACTCTTTATAAGTAAAAATTATCCTCGGGGGACTCCACCCCTTGCTGGCAAGGTGATTGGCTGGGTCTCTACTACAAGGGTTACCTGCCCTGTGTGAATTCCAAGGTCCTCCCCCCTCCATCCAGGTCTAGGAAGGTGAGCATCCAAACAGACTAGTTCATCATATTTTAAAGTTAATTTACAAACTATTCCGTTAATCTTTGAGATACAGTAGATCTTTTAGGGTATCAAACAGAGTTAAAATTTATGTGGAATCCAAATATTAACAACTAGAAATTTACATTTTTGAAGAGGGCACCAAGGGAATGAACAAAAGTTTTTATTAAGCTCGTTACTGTTGAAGTCAGGGATTTTATCACTGTTTTGTTCTTTTAACAATGATTCCCTTTGGAAGCAGTAGTGCATAGCTGTAACATTACACAGTATGTAAAGAAATCAACTAGTGAGATAATATAAGTAGAGGCTACTTGTTCATTCCCGGCCACCCAGACCTGAATAATCGCACAAAAACTATATTAATTACAATACTGTTTGGGCTCCTTATTAATTAACTCTTACATCTTAAAACATTCCTACTATTTTGTATTTTACTGTGAGTCTCATGGTTTACTGATAAGGTTCTGGGGCATCTGTCTTCTTTGGCAGCTACATGCCATCTCTCTGATTCCGCCTACTCCCTCTATATATTTCAGTTAAGAATTCATGTCTGGCGATTTTCTGCTCTTCCATAGGCCAAAAGCTGTTTCCTTATTAACCAACGGTAATAAAAAATATTCACAGAATAAAGAGGGGAATCCCACATCACTTCCTATTTTCTTTCTAATTCAAAAGGCAAGTTTCAACTTTATCAGAGTAAAATTACATATAAAAACAGTTATCAATTAAGAATTACAGTTACACTATTTATGTGTACTTTTTCTTTTATCATGAAAAATGAAAATTATAACTATTCTTCAACTACTTCTTAGTCAAAAATACATAATAATACCTAAGTTAACAGGAAGTGCATTGTAAAGAACTTCCAAAACTCTACCATTAACAGAGACATCCACTGCCTAGATTGTCACGCAAAGCTCTTTTGTAACATCAGGGCATCCATATTTAGCCTACAGGCCCATGGTATAAAGCAGACTTTGCCATGAAGCAGGAGATTTGTAAGACTGTTTTGCCTCTATTGGCAGTTCCTCAGTCACTCTCTTCTCTATCCTGAAGAATGTTTGGAAATTCTTTAATGAAGCAGGAACCCTGAAGGACTGGACCTCACCTTTAGGCAAGTTGAGCAGTCACTTTGCTGTGGGCACTTCATGTCCATTTCATATAGCATACCATCAAGCCATCAAGGCAATAGCAGTTTCTTGACCAAATGGCTAAAAACTCCAGATGAAGCCTCTTTGCTGTCCATCATTCTCTTGAAGTAGATTGGTGCTGCCAGGAACAGATGTGTTTAATTGTCATGAAAAGTCCTAAGTTCTTAAACCATTTTACATGCCATATTACATTAGTCTTCGAAAAGTTTGAATAATTCCTATCCATCCGAAATATATTTTTGTACATCTAGAAAACCTAACTAACATGATTACTAACTTGACTGTTATAGATAACTATCTATTAACCTGTATTTCTTAATTATACATTATATTTTTAAATAAGTTGCACAAACACATTAATTAAAACAGAAAAATACATATAACAAAGTTGACCTTGAATTTGTATCAATAAACCAAGATCTATACCAATACAACGTCTTCGTCTCTATAGCATATTCCCCTTTAAATATAAGAAAACATTTATAGACAATCATTTAGGGAATTAAGGCATTGCTCTCTAGAATATTTCCTGCAGATTTGGGTCAATGTTAATCATGTTTTTCACAGGGTATCATTGTGTTAGATCCTCCTCAGCCAGTAGTCTTGAAGTTGTTGTGGCTGTTGGACCATTTGG